TACCACATAAGCAAAAAGAAAAAAGCCAGAAGTGGCGCTGTGGCTCAAGTGGTAGAGCGCTAGCCTTGAGCTGAAGAGCTGAGGGACAGTGCCCAGGCCCTGAGTTCAGGCCCCACGACCGGACCCCCCCCAAAAAAAATGTTTATTCTTTAAAAAATTAGTTGTTTTTTATAGAGCTATAAAAGTTCTTAGTTTCTTTGTCAGTGGAATATAATGGAATTTTACGCTATATAAAAAAGTTACCTTTGGGCTGGGAAGGTGGCTTAGTGGTAGAGTGCTTTGCCTCGCATGCATGAGGCCCTGGGTTCGATTCCTCAGCACCACATAAGCAGAAAAAGCCGGAAGTGACGCTGTGGCTCAAGTGGTAGAGCACTAGCCTTGAGCTGAAGAGCTGAGGGACAGCACCCAGGCCCAGAGTTCAATCCCCAGAACCACCCAAAAAAAAAAAGTTACCTTTGCCTAAGAAACAGTGTTTACTGTGTATACATAGTTGACTGACAAAATTCTCTACCAACCATATTTGTTATTTTTATATGTTATTCCTATTATATAAATTTTTCCAGGTGCCAGTGGCTCATGCCTATAATCCTAGCTACTCAGATCTGGGTATCACAGTTCAAACCCAGGCTGGGCAAGAAAGATCATGAGACTCTTATTTCCAATAAACTACCAAAAAAAATAAAAACAGTAGAGCTATGGCTCAAGTAGTAGAGTGCTAGCCAGCCTTGAGCAAAAGAAGCTCAAGGATAATCATGTACACCCTGTATCAATAAATTTTAGCAAATTATTTTAATTATAGATCAGTTATATGCATATATAATTTTTACCTGTTTGGGTTTTTTTTTCTTTTTCAGATTTATGGACAAGAAACTATCATGTAAGTTTGGTATTTTGATTTTGCTTTTAATTACTCAATTGCATGAGTCATGGCAATATATATTTGGAGCCACTTTATAAAAATGTAAAGTACACAGGAGCCCTAATTCACATCCATTAATTAGGCAAGTTTGTCAGACTTTAACCAATTTTAATTACCTAATTTCCATCTGCATTAGATTATTTCATAGAAGCTATCCCTTGCCTTGATAAAATTAGCAGGATTTTCCTAGGTTGTAGTATTTGAAAACTTACTGACCTTTTTTCCTTCAAAAAGGCTACATAGGACCTGTACAGGAATCACTTTCTTTCTTGGGAATATGTAAAGAAAATAGTTGTTCAACTAAAAACCTGATCCATTTGGTTATTGAAGTAAAAAGAAATGAGAAGCATGGGTTTTAGATAGGTAGACAATTTAAGTTCCCTTGTATAAAAATAATACTTTATAAGATTCATGTAAACAAAATGTAGAGGTAAATGTAAAATGTTTAGACCAGTATTTGGCATATATTAAGGATAGTGGGTCACACGTCCCAAATACCTGCTTTATTCTACCTGATTCATAATGAATGGTTGATAGTGAGCAGTTTATTAAAACTTCTTTTTTACCTTTCATAGTGAAATTAAATGGTGGCAGACATGTCCAAGGAATATTGCGGGGATTTGATCCATTTATGAATCTGGTGATAGATGAATGTGTGGAAATGGCTACTAGTGGGCAACAGAACAATATTGGAATGGTGGTAAGTAAAGAGTAGATTTCTCCAAGATGTTTCGTTTTTCTTTTGGCATATGTACTGACTTTGCTTGTGTCAAATTCCTTGATTAAATTGAAGTTAGTTCCACACATAAAAGACTAATACTGGACAAGATTCAACTTTACATTTTATTTTAGTAGATGGCCAGCATTTGGCTGTGGTAAGATGCTAGTTATCTCTAGGATCTCAACTATACAGAACCTTCTAAGGTCTGAAGTCTTGAAATAGCTGCTGGAAATCATTTTTGAGATTTACCTTGTAGGAGAGACCCATAACTAAGTCCTTTATAAAGTAATAGTTCTCAGATTGTAAGGTGATTATGAAACTCCCTATCCTGCCTTTAACATTCTAAGTAGCTAGAGACATGTGGTACAACTCCTGGCTCGCTCTCTCTCTCTCTCTCTCTCTCTCTCTCTCTCTGTGTGTGTGTGTGTGTGTGTGTGTGTGTGTGTGTGTGTGTGTCTGGGCAATGTCCCTCAGCTCTTCAGCTCAAGGCTCTATTACGTGTGTGTGTGTGTGTGTGTGTGTGTGCGCGCAATGTCCCTCAGCTCTTCAGCTCAAGGCTCTATTACTTGAGCCACAGCACTACTTCTGGCTTTTTCTGCTTATGTGGTGCTGAGGAATCAACCCAGGACCTCAGGCATGCAAGGCAAGCACTCTACCACTGAGCCACCTTCCCAGCCCTATCTATATTTTTTATAAAAATTATTCTTTCCAAAGTTTATGTTTTTTTATATATATTTTCATTACTGATTTTTTTTTTT